CAAGCATCTTGTTGGGTTTTTCTTGCTTCATTTCTCTTACGGTCACTTCTGGAGTCTTTCTGTTGTGCACAATATGCCTTATTACACAACTGGAATTGTATTCTTCTTAAGTATATGTCACAAATTGTCTTGTTTTAGAGATTTCTGATATTCTTTCTGTACCTTCTTTCTGAATTTTCTCTTGATGCAACTAATGATTTCAGAGCCACACAGATAAAATATCTGAATGAACTTCTGCCTTGTAGTAGCCAGTTGGCAGGATTACACACACACACACAGAGTGATTCAATTTTTGCTGCTGTATAAATTAGCATTTCTGCCCCCTTCTCCCTTGTGCTAGCACTTGCACAAGTAATTACACTATTTGGAGGAGCTGACCATTGGCCAAAGCCCCCCTTTCCTCCCCCCACTTAAATCTGCACCTATTATTTCATCTATGGATAGATTCTACCCTGTCCTTCACTCTCTGTAGTCCTACACAGGCATGGACGTTTTTTGAAAGGAAAGAGAACAAATAAACAGAGCTTGTCCTTAAACATTCAACCAACATCCCCCAAACAACGGATGCCCTTTGACAACTTCCCATAGAGCAGCAACCAGTTATGATGGAATTCTCTGCAGGAGGAAAAGGGCACGAGGTCCCCGGAGTTTCCATGTGCTGGTGTGAGGCAAGTGGTTATTAGAGCTTTTGAATTTCACACCATTCAGACTTCAATATGTGACTCTTTCTGTCAATGATCAGATACCACTAGTTAGGGCTGGTGAATATTACTTGGTGCTTAATTAAAAACCAGCAAAAGCATACGACCTGGCAACCTGCCTTACCTCAGCAGCACTGAGGGCGCAGTTCTGCATTGTATCCATGGCACAAAATCAGTTTTTGAGCTTCACTCTTTGCGCTATGCTGAACTTGAGACATGCCTAAAAATGCAATATATGACTTTCCTATGTAAAATAAATTTTGGTGGCTAGGATTAAGACAATTAACAAAGGAGTTAGGTTCTACATGTTTTGTTTAAATGTTTCCTGACAAGTATCTTTGTGATATATAAATGGTAACCAGTCTTGGACATTATTCCTCCAAGTTTGTTGTGGCTCTGAGCAGCTGTTTGAAATAGCTGCAAAATATCTGGGGAAAGTTTTCATTTATTTTATTTTATTTTTCATTTATTTTTTCTGTACCGTCCATATTTCTATAGAAAATCTCTAGACAGTTTGCAATAATAAAAACATGTTTTGAACCACTTCATACTCCATGTACTATCTCAGCAAGTCTGGGCTTAGTTGTCCCATGATGTTTAATCTCTAACAAGCCTGCTTTCAATAGTAATATTAATGAAATAAACTTTCTAAGATGTCTGGGGTCTGACTAACTTCTGCTGAAATCAATAGAAAACTGAGATAACCAAATACCTAACCTAACGGAAGTCCATTCTATTGTCAGAAACTTCTCAAAACAGGGTTTTGAGGGAAACCTTTTCCGATTGTAAGTTCAAAATTTTTGTACAGTTATTCCACTTCAAGAGTAACATAACAGGTAGAAAGGTGGTATGGGGTGGTGGACAGTGTGTTGGCCTGGGGACCTGGGAGATCTGGTTCTAGTCCCCACTTGGCCACTCACTGGGAGACTTGGGCCAGTCACTCCTCTCAGCCTAACCCTCCTCACAGGGTTGTTGTTGTTGTTAAGGAGAAAATGGAGCTTTTTAGTCACCTTGGGCTCTTACCAAGAAGTCAGTATATTTTTCTGTGTTTGCGTTTTTCCTATACATTGATGTGCGTGCAGAAAGATCACTCTCAAAGAGCTTCATGGATCCACTGGCCTCCAGAAGTAAGAGAGGTGAGTTCTGGGTCCCCTCAGGTGTTGTTGGAATAGAGTGCTCATGAGCTCCAGCCAGCCTGGCCAGCGGGCACAGACCAGGAGAGCTGCAGTCCAGCGACACTTGGAAGGCCAGTCTCCCTACCCTTGTCCCGAAAGATTTAAATGTTCTACCAGCTAGCTTTACTTTGACACATGAATTAGGAAAGTTGCCACACTGATTTCGTATGTTTAATGCTTCTCGTGTGTGTGAAGGGGGGGGGGGAGGCTGCCACAAAGAACATCACAAGGGACCCGAGGCAGCTTACAAGGTTCTCCTTCTTTCATGACTGTCTGTTAAACTAAGGCCATTTTGAAATCAGTTCATAATATTGATTGCAATCTGAACTTTAAAGGCATCCACTGAGCTCCAGCAGCAGATATTGTCCCCTGCCCACCCCCCAAAAAATGGTGGAGAGGGATTAAGTGGAATAAAATGATTTTTAAAAGACTAAAACTGTTTCAGAAAGGGAAAAACACACAAATGTATATTTGTGAGCCATTAAAGGTTTGCAGAAATCCTGACTTCATCCAAAATTAGGACCTGATTTTTAAAGTGTGTGTGTGTGTGTGTGTGTGTGTGTGTGTGTGTGTGTGACTAGTACACATTCCTCATACACTTAAGGTGAAACTACATGTTACAGCAGCAGAAACACAACTTTAAACTCAAGTGCACACTCTTTAAATTCAACTTTGTTCCCATTCACTTACAAAGTGTAATGTGAGATTAAAAGCCTCACTCCAGGAGAGGGTGTTGACCCTTCCCTCACTCTTAACTCCAAATTTGTTCCCTGCAATTTTATCCCAGTCAAGTTCAGATATGAAAGGTGAGCTCAGATGAGAGAAAAGTAACTGGGGAAGGCTGCAGAGAACTTCACGACAGGTGACGATTCAGTACCACGATTCAGCCTGTGCCCCTTTCTACAGGACACACGCACACAATTAATTTACAGAGGAACAGAAAATAGCACTCTCAGTGGCATGTTGAGCCTAACAAGAGAGAATGACACACACGCTAGTCATAGCTGCAAGATCTATCCAAATGCAAACACATGATTTCAAGGAGGGTATGTAAATAAAGTGCTAGACTTAGACTGGGAAATGGGAAACTGATTTACATATATACATGCAGTCTCTCTCTCTCTCTCACACACACACACACTCACTCATATTTAATGTCCTGCCCTTCCTCCAAAAGGAGCAAAGAATGACTTGTAGTATGAATAAAACCACAATTAAAAATGCTGTACAATCCCACTACCATAATAAAGCAATTTAAATAAAACAGCAATAATCTGACCAAAAAATACAAAATCAACACAGCAGGTGCCAAATGCTTTTCTAATAAAAAGGTCTAACTTGGGCTTAAAAGTATTCATGGTGGGAATTAATCACACCCCTCCTGGAAAGCGGTCCCAGGAACAGGGCGCTCCCACTGGGAATGCCCCAGAAACTGCGCTAAAGTGCTCATTTGGCCATTAAGCATCTGTGATAACCTTGGGCTTCCCACATTCTCATAGGCTATTATGTTATAAAGAGGGAAATATCATGAGGTCCCCGAAGTTACAAAAGTGAAACATGAAACAGAGAAAGAATTGGTGCTCAAATCTTTCCCATTGACACCAGAAAGATGCCCCCCACCCACCTCCTTCATTCCATCACGGGCTGCATAAATTTTTAAAAATCTCTCTCTCTCTCTCTTTCAGAAATGAGTTGAAAGAACACCTAAAAAGACACACATTTGCACGCATGCTGCACTGTTACGCTACTCTGTGCTGAATCTGCAAGGTGTATTTCTGACTATGGGGAGAGAGACCGTCATTCATTGCATACACATGCAGTGTAGAGTTGTAGAGATTGAAACAAACATGCCTCCCTTCCAGCTTGTGACCTGGGTTACGAATTATCTAGGTTACTGTGCCACCTCTTAGGTGGGTGAGCCTTCATCAAAGTTTTCATTCCACGAATGCAGAACAGAACCCCTTCCTATCCATGCTCTGAAAGACAGGCTCCAGTTTGTTTGAATTTCCACCAAATTCTATGACCTGGGGTCGCTTCTTCTATGCATGTAAGCTCCACAACACAATTGTAGTATATACAGGGCCGGCCATGGGCTATTATAAGGAAGCATGAAGCAGGAATGGAGACAGCATGGCAAACTGGTTGGCAGGTTGTTGTTATGTGCATCAAGTCATCTCTACTTTAAAGTCTTCCAAAATGGCCTGTCCAGGACAGCAACATTCAGCTCTCCCAGATTCAGATTCGAAGGTTAGCAGCAAATAAATGTTCGAATGAAACAACAAAGAGCCATCATAGACTTCATCTACTATGACTTAGTTCAGAAGTTGTGCTAAATCGTAATTTTGGAGAGCCTCTTCTCTCAAGGTCCCCTCACCCTCCCATTCTGGGTCACCCATAAGGAGTCTGGAAGCTTTTTCTTCTGATTTATATCAGTCATGGCTTGTTGGTGATCTGAACTCAATTCGCCGCAGTTAATTTTAACGATGATTTTCAAAGTTTCCATGACCATGTGTTTTAAAAGCCCTAGTTCACATTAACCCAAATTTAGGATTTGGATGGGATGTTAAACTGTGGTTAATTGAAATCAGAAGTTTCAGTCTCTCTGTGGACACAGCCAAGAATGGGAGAAGAGGGTGTGTGTGTGTGTGTGTGTGTGTGTGTGTGTGTGTGTGTAGGAGCCAGAGATCTGTTCTGAAGACAGTGCTACTTTATGTCAGAATAGCCTTTGCTAAGCTCCAGATATGCCCTGGAATAACCTCCAGATATTTTTGGACTACAACTCCCAGGATTCCTGACTACTGGCTAGGCTGCTTGGGGCTTGAGTTCAAAGCACAGCGAAGGTACCAGTTTGGAGAAGTCTGGACTAGCATATATTCTTTTCCGATATACTCATTGTGTCCTCTGACATTGGAAGGCACCTGAGTCGGAACAACAGACTCTTCTCTCTTCTGTCCTCTGCAGAGCGCAAACAAGTATGCGCATGCCTTTCTCTCGATGCTTCACAGAAACACTTATGCAAGCATGTAAGGGTAAAGATGTAAATACAGGTTCTGTTTCATACACATACACACACCATGGTCAACATGACAAGGAGAAAAGAAAAGGAAAGAAAGGCAGTTCTTACCATGTGCCACCCACCCATGTTTACACTGATCACAGGTTCTCAGGTTTATCTTCCCTGGTTGGAAACATTCACAAGTGCAATTTACCAATGTGCAGCGTATGGCCTAGAAGAAGAAAGGGAAAATAACTTCTGTGAACATCTTACTGCACAAATAATAGTAACAATTATAACAACAGCAAGGATTTATATAATTTGAATATTCAAAGCTCTGTGCATCGTCATGTTTATACTCCTCACAACAGTCATGTAATGAAAGTCACTACTGCTAACCCCCATTGCAGAGGCAAGGTATGGCTTAGGGCAACACTGGCATGCTGAAGCCCATCCAACAAACTCAAGACTGAGCCAAGATTTGAACTGGGGCCCTCTTGCCTCCCTGTTTGCACTCTTGGGCATTCCACAGCGCTAGCTCTCAAAATGGGATCCAAGAAAGCCTGCACCTCAAATGCATCCATCCACATCACACATTTTTCTTCTGACTGCAGCCTCCTGTGCTGCATCAGACGCTAGTCTGCATGACCCCTGACCTTCAGGAGCATATTTTCAGGCAAAAAGAGCTGCAGCATGTAAGGAAGGGGCTGAGGAGCCCAAGTATATTTGCGGATTGGCATGCACGGTTCTTTGGATCTTGGCCATAAAATATAAACAGGAAGAAAGTTTCTAAAAACAAAAACCTTTTAAATTTTTTCATGTAGCACATACAATAAATACTAAAATATAAAACAAAATTTTGTATGACATGATTTGCTTGTTTTCTTTCTTTTAATTCCATGGAAGTGGTCACAGAAAGTAGATATAGCACTGTACATATAGCAATTTCAGCTAAAGAATGCATGCATCATCATCATCTCATGAAAATAATACATTTAAATAATGCAGACTAAAGGCAATGTTATTTGAAATAAAGGAGAACACATATGCATTGCACAAATGTCCTGGTTTAGTTTTCCAAATTTAGTTTTTCCAAATGCCTGTGGGGAAAATTTTGATGCTACTTATGTCTTTATTTTACAGCATGTCATCTTTGGTATAACCAAGAATGAAGCAGAGACACAAATATACATAAATCCATCCATTTCTCTTTTACAGGCTTATAAAAGATTTAATTCAGTTAAGCATCAGAACAGTCACTGGCTCCATTGATTCCAAAAGCGCTGCTAGAGCGATGGAGGTCCAGAAGAGAAGTGACTCAAGAGACATGTTAGCAATGTTCCTTCACCTCAATCATTCCTTTCTTCTACCAGACACACGTGTTTCCCTTTTGACAGCTTAGGTGTTTCCTTCGAAAACATACACCCACCCTCTCAAAAAGAAATACAAGGTAAGACTGAAACACCAGATTCTATGGTATGAATAGAACAATTACTTTGGAAGGGAAAAGATGTATAATTTCTTTAAACTATAAAGCAAATACATAAATAATGAGCAAGACTTTTTTTTTAAGGCCAAGACCTCAGTTTTTAAATCGTGCTAAAAATGACCTGTGCTCCTTAAACTACTAGTAGTGAATTTATGGCATGCATTTAGGCTTAATTTGCACACAGATTTTTGAAATGGAGGGAATTATATTCATCATTCACACATTAACAATGTACTGTAACTGTTGCAGATGCCAGGAAATGATCACTCTACCAATTTAGATGCAACCAGTGATTATTTAAAGGTCAAAAGGGGTGTGTGCGCACCCATGCTTGCTACCTGCAATTTCAAGAAACTAAGAATTTCCTGAATGCTGTTTTAACTGATGTACTGAAATGCAAATCTCAGTATGGGAACTAAAGACCATTCTCTAAAATCAATGTTTTTGGCTTTAATCCTATACACCAGTCTTCCCCCATATGGGTATTCCCAGTCATCTTAAACTAGCATGGACTACATTGACTGGGGATTATGGGATTTGCAATCCAACAGGTATGGATGATCCCAGTTTGGAGAAGAATGTTTCAAGTTTGGGGAAGAAAGTTGCATTCACTCAGTCAGGAGGAAATCTCATTGGACTTGGGGCAATCCACTTGCACCTAAAATACACACAATTTCATTGTTTGCAAAGGAAGCTATTTGCATGTGTGAGATCATGGAAGGGGTGTGGCAGTTTTTCTTTCCAAGATGCTGCCAAGTTGAATTCCATCCTTTCAATCTTCTGAGCTTGAAGTGCTGCTTTCAGGGAGCATGATAGGCTACTGAGAGAATGGGTGTACTGGAAGTCCTGTTGTCCTTGCAGAATACTTCACACAGACCTTTCAGTTTTGCCCTTAGTCAGCACTATTCTTACTTTCTGTTATTATGTAGAGCAAATAGGTAGTACAGAGGTTCTTTCCAAAAGCATTAATGTACAGCGAGGTTTAGAAATTAGGTCCTTTGTTCACTAGACTCTAATACAATCTGGCTGCCTTTTTCCACACAGTTCCTGTCTTTTATATGTGCCTTATGCCTTCCTCTCTCCAGCTGCTGCTTTATATTAAACTCTAGAAAGCAAAGTTGGATAAGAGGGAAAAAGGTTGCTGTTTTACACCTGACATTTAAGTGTTCCAAGCAATGTCAACTGACCAACTGTTCATTAGCAAGGCTGTAAAACACTGTTGTACCTAGCAGTGATTAAAGGAATTAGAAATATGAAATATAAAGAGCACCCACCAAATTGCTGACTAGGTAAGAATAATATATGTGATTGTGGGTTACAAGATGAAGGGGAGGAGGAGAATCTACCAAAAGGTCCCTCTCTGTGTTCGATACTTTATTGACTCAGTAATATATCAGGTCTCCCCTCGTCAGTAATGGTGTCTTTCTCTAATATGTCCATTAATTAATGAACTTAGTAATTAATTGCACTGCAAAAAGGAAGTAAAAAGTGAAGCTGTGGCAACAAATGCTTTGCTTTTGAATTTCTTTTAAGTAGATCTTTCAGAGTTCACTAACATTTGTGTTTGAAGTGGGTGCAACAATCACAACCTATTACGTTTGTGAACATTGCTGGAGTATTTCTATTACAGGCAGATAATAATTTCCACAAATCTCCACCTCCTTCCACCCATCCCCAACCCCATTCAAGAAAAGGTCACTGGGTTGGTTGTAAATATTAGATTCAGGCTGAATTACCGTGTTACAGTCCAAGATTAAATTTTCTGGTCTGAATTCAAAATGACCCATTAAACTATTTTCATAATTATTAGGTGGGGGAAAGCATATTTTAAAATTCCTTTGCAGTCAGCTCACAAAAGTAAACAGTCACAGATTTCAAGACTGCATTTACATCTGAATCAAGTGTCAACTATGTATCTCTATCTCTTGTAATATTTGAAAATGTGCGTAAATTGAATTACGTATTTTAAGTATGAAAATACTATAAATAATTATATATTTCTTTTGTTCTGATTCTAAATGCATTTACATAGGTATCGATTTCAATTTATTCATTACTTTATTTGCTGTATTTCAGTTGTACATAATAAGTATGTCAAGTAACATACTTGTTCATTTATTGTTTTGTTTGTATGCATTATTGTAAACTGCCCAGAAAGCTTTAGCAATGGGGCAATATAGAAATGAAATAAGTAATAGTAACATTAACATGTTACACAGCATTAGTTCCCATAGAAATACCATACCCAGGATCCAAATAGCCACATGACTAAGACCCCAAGTTGGCCAGGGAGGGGTCATTCATATGGCCAGCTAATTTTAAATGGACATGAGTTTCAAAAGTAGTCTATGGTTTGACATACGATTTAGCTGTCCAAAGAAACGTTTTTTGAAAAAATAAATCCACTGAGTACACAAAAATTGGGTTATACCTACAACTGTCCTCTGGATAATTGTCCAAATCACTGGATGTGAGAACCAGTTGATAAGTGGGTTGAATTTATATTATGAAGGATGAAAGAGAACTGTCAAACAATGTTAACAGATTAATTATTATTGCCTTGGCACACTGTAGTGAAATCCGCTACAGATGCAAATTCTGCTTGCATAACTCAGCTGCAAATGCAAAATTATTTTGCTGACTCAGATTGGAAGACAGAAAAGAGATACTTCCACTACTTAAGCAAGTACTACAGCAAAGATGTACAGAAATATTAGAAGCAGAATGTAAAGGTGATTCAGTGTACAGTAAGGGAGGGCTCCGGAGAAGCATTACATTCCGCCATGTAAATAATCCACGAACAATCGGAACATCAAGTGCATTTTCTAGGCAGAGCCCTGACATAGTATTTCTTGCATTTCTGCTAATATTATATGTGTCTCCAAGGAACCCTTACAATATCAATGGAAACGTCATAAAGTCCATTCAAATTCATCCTTATGCAAGTTCTATGACAGGTTCACTTTTCCTTTAAAATCCTATTTCCACTAAAATCATGTTTAAAGAGAAGAAAACATCCTAAAATATGCCCTAAGATTTTATTGAACACCAATATTTGCAGCCGTGCTTCCTAGCTACTTCCTCTTTGCTTCTACCTTTGGGTCTAATTCAAGGGTATAAAAAGGCTGTCCGATATCATATTACAATATGTTAGCATTAGTGGTAATGGTATCCTTTCAATAATGGGGGCTGGGGGTGTGTGATGGCCTGAGAACAAATGAATCAATCCTGTATTAATTGATTAAATGGTGGCAGTGGCAGGGAGAAAAATTGATGAACTGATGCTGCTGTTGATGAAATTACTCTTGTTTGTACTGTAGTGGGGGGTGGAGAGGAAGAATTGATGAACTGAGCCTGGTATTAATTGTTTGAAAAGCAATAGATAATACAGGAATCCTATAACTGGAGGTCACCTGAAGGTCATCTACTCCAGTCCTCAGCATACAGAAATAAGAACTTATCTTCAGATAAATGTAATTTGGAATGAAGTAATCTGTTCAATCCTAAAGGAATGGGGAGTATGACAGGAGCCAGGGCAGAAGCAAGGGGGTAAAAAAAAAGAGGAGCAGGTAGCCTTGGAGGGAGTCGTTCCCTTGGCTTGGGCTATTGTTGCTTTCTGCCATTTTTGTGGAGCATATTTGCAAACCAGACTATGGGAAAAAGCAACGACCCTTGGTGTTTAGCAGCTCACCAAGAGGGCACCCGAGTGTACCAAGTCCCCAAACCAAATACAGATTGTGCAT